TTATTACAGCACCACACAATCAAAAGAATACATTTAACCTTCAAAAACCAAAACTGTTCTTTATGGTCACATTTTATAGTAAGATCTGAAGGCCATGAATATATATATTAACTTCATGAGCACCTCTCAAATGCTAGTTATATTAGCAATTAGCAAGTAACAAATGTTACTACTTCTCCTGACTCCATAAACTTTCAAGTCTTCAGGAAGTACCCAGAAAACATACCTGACACTTCACTTAGGACAATCCCTCAACTTCTGCCTGAGTATTCCATGACTGACGTCTCTCTAGAACCACTTATGCTACTACTTGTTTTCTAAAAAAAACAAACCACCAAGGTTCTGAAGCACAAGTGTGTTGATTATTTGGTTTACCTGTTCTTTGATTGCTTTTTCAACCAAGGACTTTCCTCTGCTCATACGTACCTACATTAAAACAGAAACACATTTGTAGCGAGGAGAGATAATTCACATTACTCTTAACAAATACATATGTTAGCCATCAGGGTCTCCTTTTGTATGTTCTATTGCCAATTTTTCAATAACTTGCATCCCTCTCACAGGGTTACGGCTGTTACAGTGAAAGGGAAAAAAACCCCAAAACAAAAGTAATCATTTTCAGCCAAAGAAGGCCACTGCAGTGTTAGTGCTGGAACAAAGCAGATGGTGGGAATAAGCAGCCAGTGACACAGACACCAAAAGATGAGGTTTCATCAGCTAGGCTCGTGAAAATTATAGTCCTGAATATAATCACAACCTCTGCCTTACCCCCTGCTTTTCAATCACCACTGCATTTCCTTTTTCTACCTTTTGCTATTTATTCATAATGAGCTGCCCTTACCTAACCAGGTTGTTTGCAAAATGAGGAGACCTCACCTATGCCATAACAAGACCAGCCTGCAGCCTGGTCATGTTTCTAAATAAGCACCATATATATAGTACAGCTAATGACTTCCAACTGTATTTTGAAAGGACACTCCAGGTTGTTTGCAAAATGAGGTGACCTCACCTATGCAATAAAAAGACCAGCCTGCAGCCTGGTCATGTTCATATATACATAGTATTATATATATAGTACAGCTAATGACTTCCAACTGTATTTTGAAAGGACACAAGACTTGCCCATGCAAGAAACTTCACATAAACCTGCAAAAATTCAGATACTAACTGTTGCAATTAATGTGATCCCCTAAGAAGAAGGTCAGAAAAACTTAATATTCATAATGCTCAATTTTATTCCTACTACTATCAGAGAGTGTTTCTGCAGATATCAGCATTACCAACACCAAATCAGCCAGATTTTAACAGGCTGTGTTGCTAAAGAGACAGGAATCACTGGATGTCATCATGTGCCCAATCCAGCTGTCAAACACAACATCAATGTGGAAAGTCAGACATAGTAAATAAGAACATATTTTAGTAAACTCTTATTTGCAAAAACAGATCCTTTCTAAAATAAGTTTCAAAAAATTTGCTGAATTAGTTTGAGTTAGTTAAGTTTAACAAGTTAGCCTGAATAAATTTAAAAGAATGTTTGGAAGAAAAACTCTTATTCACCCAAGAAACTGCTGCCACTTTTAGGAAACAAAATCAGAGAAAAACTCTTAAGAGCACATCCCATGAATTGCACCTGATTTGCAGTATTATTAGTAAGAAACTTACTGTGTCTACTATCTTAAATGAACTGCCATCATGTCGATCCTTTCGGTTGCTAGGATGAGGTGAACCATTTCCTCCATTAGGTGCAGATTCTGGACTAGGAACAGGAGAAATCTGGCCAAGAGCTGGTGCAAATTTTGCTTCCTTTTTGTTAGTCACCAGATAGTTGATATCTTTACTAAGAAAACTCTCCACTCTCTAAATATAAAGATATAAAACAAGCAATTATTTCAGGACAATAGATCAGTAACTCAGTTTTACATTGAATATTTTAAAGGAAAGTGATAAAACTTCTAAAACAATTAAGTTCAAAAACACTGAGTTAACAAGAAATATTTTCTATATATCTGGATGACAATGACAATTAAGTTGCACTAGCATCTTACCAGTCAAATTCAAATTTCTTAATTTTGTAATCATTATTAAAAGAGCTTTGCTTTGTTATAATTATTACAATTTTTTACCTGTAATACTTTCCAATTACAAGAATGCAAACACTGCATTAAGGAATAACATATTAATTCAAGGCAATAACTCTCTCTAATTTTAGGTAACAGAAATTACATAGAAGTGTTCAGCTAAACTTAATGGCAGGTGTTTGCAAATGTGATTTACAGTCTGCAAGAAGCTATGCATTTACTGAGTTCAGAACCAGCAGAAAAACTAAAATTTCAGGAGAGCTACCATGTTTCACACTACAGTTTTCATAACATTTTTCAAAAAGTAAATTCTTAAGAAGATTCATATTCTCAAACTCAGCAATATAAAATGTCATCATTCTGAGTTTACTTTTCCATTGTGCTCCTTTCAGTCTCTTTCATTGCCATTTACAGTGCCATCAACAGCTATCTGTCCTGTTATTTCATGTCAAATTGTGTAGTTTGAGGTATTTCCCTCTTCTCCATTAATCAGTGTGGAAAGCACAAATCACTCAGCTTGAAACTGTGCCTTTCAATTCTGCTCTATGAATCTTTTACAGGAAATACAGAGAAGCACTTCTAAGTGCCCTCCACAAGTATCCTGTATCCTTGCTTGTATCAAAGAGCTCCTACCGTACTGAAAAAAGAATTAGAAAAAAATTAATAAGATGCTTCTAAAACTTATTGTTTAAGTAAGAGTATTCAAAAACACTCACTAAGACACTCTGTGCTAAACACTGTTAGTGAAGTTGCTGACTTACAGAAAACAGATACAAAACTCTTCCTTTAGTCTCTTTCAGGTTCAGGTGAACACTGTTAGTTGTAACATGTCAATATAGTCAGAAGCAGCAAAAGAAAAATCACCTCAAACAATGAAACCTAATGAATTTGGATAAAATTTTAAGCCAGGTGAATAATCACCTGAAAACAAAACTTCCTAATAAGAACTTTTGTTCCAATCGGGAAAGCAGTTTCTCTTGAAAACCCATTGAGCTTAATGATAAGCTCATTATTTGGACTAGTTTAAGACAAACGCAGAAAAATAAGACACCATCTCAGGTAACTACAAATAACATTAAAATGTAGTTACAAAGAACACAAAAAAGGCATTCCACGTGTGCACATTTCCTTCTAGGTTCATACAAGTCTATTATTAACTTACACCTCCCAGCTCTTTGAGGTCCTTTCCTAACTTCTCAGAGATCACATTTGATGGGATATCGAGGTAAAACACTTTCCCAGTGAGTGGCTTAAATTTGAGTTTCTCTGGTTTTCCTGTGTCTTTCTTCACATTCTTCAGGGAAGATCTTATCTTTTCTGGTTTTGCTTGTATTCCATCTTCTGGGGAAAGAAGGAAAAAAAACCAGGCAATTTAAACAGAACTGGACTTTGGTTTTATTTTAGAAAGGGAAAATTCCTAAATTATGGAAATGGATGGAACAAGTTTCCATAGAAAGGCTTGGGCTGGAAGGGACCCTAGAGATCATCTAATTTCAACCTCCCTGCCATAAGCAGAAACACCTTCCATTAGACCACATTGCTCAAAGCACAATTCCACATATTGGTTTTACATTGATGTTTCTTCCTCACTGACTTACTCCTAGTTGTTTCTCTTCCAGAGAAACTCAAGACAATGAGAGCTGCCACAGGAAGTGAGCAGGCCTCTTCTGGGGACAAAAAGGCAACATGCAAAACAGTCCCTCCGTTAAGGATTGCTTCCCCCCCTGAAGCACTCTTAGGAAAGGGAGCAGAACCACTACTCATGCTGCAAAATCCTCGAAGGCTTATGAGCACACTGAGTAATGCAGGAACAGCACTCAGTTTTCTAGGATCTGGAGGAAAAAAAAAACAAACTAGAGAAATACGAAATATAGGAGACAGAGGTTGGTGTAACTGATCCAGAATCTAAACAGAAAAGATGGATGATAAGCAAGTGTGCAAGGAAAATTCTGTAGATGATCACGGATCAAATACAGTGTTATGCTCACAACACACACGCCAGGGCCGTTAAAAAATTAACACTCTAAACACTGGAATTAATATTGGAGCACGCAGATTAAACCTCCCAGGGATAATCAAAAGTTTGGAGCGCATTAACAGGACTGCAGTAGCAATGAAGAAAATAGGAGACAGAGGTTGGTGTAACTGACCCAGAATCTAAACAGAAAAGATGGATGATAAGCAAGTGTGCAAGGAAAATTCTGTAGATGATCACGGATCAAATACAGTGTTATGCTCACAACACACACGCCAGGGCCGTTAAAAAATTAACACTCTAAACACTGGAATTAATATTGGAGCACGCAGATTAAACCTCCCAGGGATAATCAAAAGTTTGGAGCGCATTAACAGGACTGCAGTAGCAATGAAGAGTCTCTCGCGCAAATGGGGTGCCTTCTCCCAGCCTGGGCCTAAGGAGCCCTCCACACCAATCCCAGAGAAGCCGGGGGGGAGCGGCTCGCCCGGCAGCGGCCCGGCCGTTTCCCACACTCCAGGGACACGCTTTTACCTGTAGCTCCCCAAGGCACGCAAGGGCCCTTGAGCTGCCCCCGCTCGCAGCCCAGCCCGAGGGCGGCGGGGCCCGGGCCCGGCCCGAGGCGGGCTGCGGCGCCTCACAGCCCCGCCGGGATGGCGGCACCGGCTAAGAGAGGCCCGAACGGCGGCAGCTCCCCCGCGCTACCCGCAGCCCCGTGCCGCTTACGGGGACGCGCTCCTTTGTCGGCGGCCTCAGCAGCGCTCGGCTTCATCTTCCCGCGGAGTCACATCGTGCTGTGCCCCGCCGGCACCCTCGATCGGCACAGCCGCTCCACGACACCTTCCCGCCTCTAGCACGGCGGCCCCGGCGCCCTCACCAACTGCCCGCGCGGGCCGGCCCCTCCCGCCGAGGGGCGGGCGGAAGGCAGGCGGGGAGGGGAAGGAGCTGTGGGGCCGGAGCGCGGCTGCCTTGGCTCTGGAGGAGGGGAAGCAGTGGCAGCGTTCCTCTCTCCTCACCACAACCCTGTACTTGAGTCGCAGAGACCTTTGCCCCCGGCGGGCGGCCGATAAATGGGTATGTACGCAATTCTGGCAGCTGTCCCCTTCTTAGTTAAAGATACGTGAAAAATAAACAACATTCCCACCCGCCGTTGTAGCTGTTAGTACCTAAGAGGCCGGAGTTGGTTTGTGCAACTTAATCTTTTTTATCTAACTTGAAGCTTAGTGGAAATAACAAAACTTTCTTGTGAAGTCAGTGAAAAGCTTAGATCAATGTTTCTAACAAAATTCGTGCTGCACTTAAGCACAGTAGTGCATTTAGAAAGACACACCTTTATTTGGGGATTTTATTTTCTGAAGTATTTTTATTATCTTCTGTCCTGGCTAGTTGCAGATATTGTGCATGCAGATATTGCGAGCAGGCTGTGGCTCTTGGCTCAGCCAGGAGACCTTTCTGGGTTCTCTCAGGAGAGATGGCAGTCAGAGAAGGGCTGGGTCAATTATTCTGCAGCTTCAATTTATGGGCCACAGGCTGGGAGTTTATCTTTGTAAGGATTATTAGCTTGTTTGTAAACGCTTTGTTGCAGTTAAAGGCAATATGTGTCAAACATTTCATGTGGTGTGCAAGAACATGTAAATTTTGTGATTCGTTTAAGAAGGATTTTGGAGATTTATTGTCTTTAAAAAACTTACTTGGCTCAAATAATCTCAAAAATTACTGAGATGCTTCTATATAAGTAGAAAAATAACATTGCTGGTTCTACATAACTTAGTAATGAAAATTGAAGATATTTATTCCTTTACTTTTTTTTCTGCAAATTTTGAGTGTAGTCTTACAATATGTTTTTCTGTTCCTTAACAGGTTTTTCTTCTCTGGGCATAAAGCCATGGCTGAAATGAGCAATATCAATGTACAAAAACTAACCATTGTTCAACAAGCAATAGCCTCTTGTTGTGGAGCAATACTTACATCATTATTTGGTAAGGCAAACTATGAAGCTGGCCACAGAGAGAATCTCACAAAGTGATTACTCTTCAGTTTGACTCAGCATGATGTCTCCTTATGTATGTTTCCATTAATGTGTGGAGTTGAGCCAATATATTCAGAGGAAGATGGTCCAGCTGCCCAGCCACTGCAGCATTCAGCATGTCTCAGCCTGTGGTAGTTGTAAGGGCTGCAGTGGAACATTCACTAAACCTTCACTTTCTTTTCAAGAACCCCAATGTTTTACATATTGGCTACATACAGCAAAAAAGAAAAGTGCATAATGACTTTAACTTTTTTTTTTTTTTGAAAGTTGTATTATGGTCAGTTAATTGAAAAAGAACAAACATATGAAGAATGCTGTGCTATTTTGTATGCCAGAAGCCAAAATTTGATTTTGCATGCCTTGTGGTATGCTACTTATAAAAGCAATTTCAGACAATGATACAGTAGCTTTTGAATGAGCTTTGTGTATTTCTAACATTTCATGGCTATGCAACTGTTAGTAAATTAGAAAATATAGATATAATATCTTGCAAACCATACAGGGTGTGTAGTTCTCCTTTGTCTCTGATAGCATTGTCTCTGTTTGCTAACATCCCTTTTCTCTCTGCTTGATAACATTGTGAAATCTGTTAGGTGGGGGTTCCCCCCCCTTTGGAAAAAAAAGTTCTAGAAGTTCATGATAAGGCATCTGTAAATTTCTACTTTTTCAGGGGATCAGGGTGTTTCTAAATGACTTCTGTTTCATTTTAGTAACTCCTCTTGATGTTATCAAAACTCGACTGCAAGCCCAAGGGAATCCATTCCATGATGGTAAACAAGCAAATGTGTATGTAGTGTAATGGGGGACACAGTTTGCTTTTTGCTCTTGTGTTTGGCTGATAGTTGTCGTAATGCTGTGCTGAGGTGTAGAATGTTTGAGTTTGTTTCTCCAATATAACTGTGGGGGGGAAAAAGTAGCACACCAGTATGTACTAAACAAACACAGTAGAAAAAAATCCCTTACATCCATATAATTTTAAACAGGCTTTTTTTTTCCTGTCTTAGTATTTTCATTATGGCAGAATGTACAACTGAGTTGAATCAAACAATAAAAAGCTGTTACTAAATGAATAAATAATTCATCAGAGGGCTTATGTGGTGAGGATGTTGTATCAAAGTTCATCTCCTCCAGAATCCAGAGATTTTTGAAATGGAGAAGTCTTAACAAGTCACTTGCCACTTGGGCTCTAAGTAGATGAAGATATTGTGCTCTCAAAGATGTGCTAATGGTTCCTACTATTTACTTGTACTTAGTATATGAGATTTAAAAGGAAAGAAGATGGCTGGTTTTTCATGTTGAATGTGGAGGTGAGTATTTGCAGTCACACTTGCAAATCAAATTAGGAAAAATACTTGTGCCTTCTATCCTGTTTTTGAGTAAGTTCTAAAGCCTTCAGAATTTGCAAATATGAAGCTTGAAGTATGTTTTTGTAATGGCAATAATATTTTATCAAACAGGTTGAAAGTACATAATGTAGGAGAAAGGAAAAACAAATGGAGGAGATGATCTAGTGTAAATGCAGACAAAGATAAGATATAATAATAATGCAGATAAGATACAGTATCTCCACTTGAAGTGGATGCTGAGGTTACTTAATAAGAGATTTAAAAGTCTGAAAGATGTTCACAGTTACATGCAATAGCGGCGTTCAGGTCTTGTGTTAGTTTTACCTTTCAGCAGATGGTAATATAACCTAAAGATGTCTCTTGGAGCCTTGTGAAGGCAGTTCCATTCAGTTGGGCAGTCTGAGTGTTACATTTGTACCCTCTCTCATTTGGCCTAATTTTTCATTACTGACTTAGCAAAATTATTTTGCCCCTCTGTGTCTAACCAGAAATAAATCTGTGTTGCCGTTATATCCAATTTGAAATTGCTTCTGGGTAAAAACAATCTTACAAGCATTAACTATATTCTTATATACCATTTTATTAGGAAAGTGTTTTATATACTCCAGTGGCCATATGGATCATGTATATGTTTGTGAAAATGGGGACAGCAAAGCCTGGTATAAAAAACCTGGGCATTTCAAAGGGACGTTGGTAAGAACATTTTACATGTATATAAAACTGTGCATTTTTAAGTAGCATACTCTAAAGTTTTCAGGTTTTTTCAGGTTCTACGGGAATCTGTTATCATTTGAGAGGGTCTTCATGTAGTTACACTGCTGATTGATGATACCTTCTACTGTCTGCAAAAAAATACATATTCCTTCCTTAAGATGAACAAGGAGGCAGCTGCACAGCCCTCCTCACAGGTTACTGACTTTTATGATTTTATTTTCCCCACTTCAGCTATTTTGGCAGTAGTTGCTGATTGCAGGTAATAATTTTCTCTTTCCTGCTTACATCCCTTGTGCCCAACACATCTCCCAATGTGCTTCTGAGCTGAACTAATGGTGCAGATAGTGTTTAAAGTTAAATTCATGTGTCAAGTTCTCTATCCAGAGAAGTCTCTATCCTGTCAAGTATCTAGACCTGTAGGACTAGCATTTTCCTAAGCAGTTGAGCCAGTCTTGCTGGCAGATACTGTCATGCTGGTTCATTAGTCAGATTTTCTTTTGACTCTGCCATGAAATTAAACCTATGATCAAGGATTTTTCAGAATTAAAATCTTGAGAATGGGATGTTAATGCAAAAGGTGTCTTCAGCAGTTTAAAAGGGTTTTTAAATTAATAATTTTACAAGTATGATTTTTTTCAATTACCTTTACAATGTCATTTTAGAAAGTTAGTTTCAGTTAGTTTTCTATTAGACATGAATTTATGCCTAGTTTTGCCGTAACAAGTTGATTCTTAAAGAAGAGTGACTATCATATAGCCTTAATGGTTTTTTTTAATTAGTCTTATTTTTTATCTATACCTTCCTGTTTTGTAAACTTACTGAAGCTATAAAGATAGTAACCAGCTAGTCAAAAGTGTCTTTTTTGTTAAATCATGTTAGGACCTTTAGGGATTCTTGGCTTCCTTTCAAAGCTAATCAGGTTTATTGTAATAAACCATTTCTTTGTTTTTTCCATTCAGCTTTTTGCCTCACAGGATTAGTCCATCAAGGCTGTCTCCTCTAAAGCTGTTTGCTTTTTTCTTCCTCTAAGTCCTTTCTGTGGTCTGCCAGACTCTTGTCTTTTGGGGCTCTGTAATAATGTCTGGTTTTAGGCATATTCTAATCCATTGAATCCCAACCTCTTTCCCCAGATGTTTTAAGAAATTTAGTACCCTGATACTACAAAGTTTGTGGTTTTGTTTGTGATTTTAGCTGAATAATCTTCAAGGTTTTGTGTTCTTCTGCTGTCAGTCTCCTGGCAATATACAGGACAGATGTAATAATAATTGAAAGCTTGTATATGGTATAGTGTATACACATTGCATGTATGGGGTCACATTGTCAGAGGAAGTATTGAAGAATCTTTGAGAATTAGTTGCTATTTCATGCCTAGAAACTCTGCTACATATTGAAAACATATTTTAGTGGATTTTTTGGGGGAAGTTTCCACAAATTGCTGCAATACCATATTAATACTGAAAATAGTTATTCACGGGACTGACAGTCACTGATAAACACTTAGTACTTTGGCTTTTTAAACATGGAAGGAAATTCTTAATTTCAGTCACATAAATTAGTCTGTTCAGCTCAGTGGAACTGTTTGCATGGTTAAGTGTGATAGCTTCTGTAAGCAGTTATAAAATTGGAATCTTACAATGATAAGCCATTTTAGAAACATACTTTTAAAGACATTAGTTTTGTGTTCTGCCAGCTAAAATGTATTACTAACTACAAAAGTTTGTAGCTAATTATTCCTCTTTGCCTGGTTATATTTTTAGGATGCATTTGTGAAAATTATTCGAATAGAGGGAATTAAGTCGCTGTGGAGTGGGCTTCCCCCAACACTGTAAGTTGGGTTTTTTGGTGACATGCTGTAAGTTATTGTTAAAAAAATTACTTAATTATTTTTGAGAAATTACTTATTTCTAAGTTATTTTAAAAATATTGATCAATTCTGAAGTTACAGACTAATCAGTTTGATCAGAAATGTCTATGGACAGTATAATTTTTGTCAGATTTTAGAATTTTCTGATACATTCTCTGTAGTTAAGCAGGATCAATAGACTTCTCATTCTGCTGCTTTTTTTCCCCCCTACTATAACCATTTCTTTGATAGCATCATTGAATCACAGGATGGGACCTGGTCCCTTGAGAGGGTCAGTCTTCAACACATTCTTGTTGTATCTTGTTACTTAATGACTTGCTATCAGCAGCACAGCTGTTTCCAGACACTCTGGTGTTGCACTTCATTACCCTCACTTAATTTTTGTAATCATCTTCTTTATTTCAAAGAACTTTGGGGTTTTATTCTATCTGGATAAACAGATAATTCATTTTCTCTCTACAAGAGCAATTTACATATTTAAACACTGCAATCAGATCTCCTCCTGGTCTTCTCTTTAGGCTTAACAGCTCCAAACTGTTTTATCTTTTTATTCATATTAACCTAGTATAGATAGAAATTAAGACCTTTATAATTATGTTCTCCTTCATAAACCAAGAAAGTTTTTAAATCTAAGATGTGTATTAAACTTGTATCTTACAAGGCACAAAGTGGGAAGTGCCCAGTGGGAAGCACTTTTCATTTGCAGACAGTGCATAGTGTATAGGCACAAAAAAGCAAAGCATGGTGGAGTTCAGCCTTGTTTACCCTCCAGTATGTGGCAATTTCAAAATATAAACCTTAAGACCTGACTGAACTGTTCCAGTCAATACAGTTTTTTTACAAAGCACGTGTTTTGTTCTCCAGCCAGCAGAGAAGTAACTTCTTTCCTGGAGAAAGTCACACAAGTAGAAGAGAAGATACAAACTAAGCCATGTTGGTTTTCCAAGCATGACAGTCCTCGGTGGTTTTTGGTAATGGTGGTACATGCTGTATTGGCACAGACATAAGACAGAAGTGTAATTGCCAGATTACAGTAAGATGTGGTGCTTTTCCCCTACACTGAATGATTATTGAATCTACCTGTTGCTACTACAGTCTGTACCATGCTGGTATGGAAGAAGCTTGTATTTGTGCATACTACATTGTCTCTCAAGTAGTGAGTATCATGGCTGTTGATCAAGAGCATAATATCCAATTGTTACATAAATAAAAGTTAAGGTTAGTAGTACTTGTGTAATATTTTGTTTGGGTTCTTCATTTTCTGATCTTTAATTTCCCATTCTTTACCAAAATAGTTCTGGAGCTGGAATATATTTTGACTGAGATAATCTACCATCATTTTACTTACGGTTTTCCCTAATGAAATGAATACCTGGGAGATGTGTAGGTTTGAAACTCTGAACTAGAAGCAGTGAATCAAAGCTATGGGATTAATGTTGGTTTTTTTATTAACCCATTACGCACAGCTGAAGATTTAACTTTTTTTAAAAAAAGTTAAGTAAAAAATCAATACAAGACAGTTGACTTTATTCTCCTGCTTTCCTGGTATTAATTTAAATTTCTTCTCTTATATTTTAGAATAATGGCAATTCCTACCACAGCAATCTATTATACCTGCTATGATCAGCTGTGTGAAGCTTTGAAAAATAGACCAGGAAAGCATGATGAGCACATTCCAGTTATTGCAGGTTCCTTAAGCAGATGTAAGTTGTCCTCTGTTTAAAGAGAAATCGGAACATAATACCTCTATGCTGTTTTATTGGGTTTGTTTTGTTGACTTTTATTTAAAGTAAATATGCTGTGGGTTTAAATGAGGGATAGGAAGGAATACTGTCATTTTTGTTTGGGTTCTTCATTTTCTGATCTTTAATTTCCCATTCTTTACCAAAATAGTTCTGGAGCTGGTGTGGAATAGATTTTGACTGAGATAATCTACCATCATTTTACTTACGGTTTTCCCTAATGAAATGAATACCTGGGAGATGTGTAGGTTTGAAACTCTGAACTAGAAGCAGTGAATCAAAGCTATGGGATTAATGTTGGTTTTTTTATTAACCCATTACGCACAGCTGAAGATTTAACTTTTTTTAAAAAAAGTTAAGTAAAAAATCAATACAAGACAGTTGACTTTATTCTCCTGCTTTCCTGGTATTAATTTAAATTTCTTCTCTTATATTTTAGAATAATGGCAGTTCCTACCACAGCAATCTATTATACCTGCTATGATCAGCTGTGTGAAGCTTTGAAAAATAGACCAGGAAAGCATGATGAGCACATTCCAGTTATTGCAGGTTCCTTAAGCAGATGTAAGTTGTCCTCTGTTTAAAGAGAAATCGGAACATAATACCTCTATGCTGTTTTATTGGGTTTGTTTTGTTGACTTTTATTTAAAGTAAATATGCTGTGGGTTTAAATGAGGGATAGGAAGGAATACTGTCATTATCCAGTATTTCTTGGGGAACAGAACCCTCTAACCTGGAATAATGAGATTTGGTTTTGCAGAAACACTTTTGCTACATTTGTAATTTGTTCAAAATTTTATATTTCTAGATTTCTACCAAGGGCAGTTTAATTTAAGTCTGTTCTGCCATCAGTCTAATAATAAACATCATCATTTGCTATCATGGAAGGTACATAGGTAATTATAACAAAGATGAAAATTGGACTTGTACTGGTTTTACTAATGTATGATGTGGATGGAAATTATATATTTTCTTACTTTTGTTTACCGTTTTCTTCATCTGTTTTTGTAGAATTAACTCAGATAGTATATTTTAGGGCTTTCTTAGAATGGTCTCTTGATGCAGTTCCATGTTGAACCTGTGACAACCATGAGGGCACTGGCAGACTAGTGGAAAAGGAATTGGTATTTGTGGTGGTGTAGCACATTGCTCTTATTAGGCCGTTCATGTGTAAAACCTTATTCCAGCAACAGAAGAAAAATTCTTGGATCTAGTAAAATTTTCAAAGTCTGTTAGATGTGTGATGGTAGCTTGTTACTGAATGACGACTCACTGACCATTGTGCAAGATGCAAGAGTTACTTTATCAGATACAGATTGCCTGCTAATCGTTCTTGATAGTTTAAGATAAGAGCGGCAAAGATGCTTAGGAATCAATAAAAGCTTAAATCTGTAACCACAATTCTGTCCTTAACACAAAAAGAAGCCTTAAGCATCAAGATTGCTTCTTCAAGTTACAGTTTAAAATGGGAACTAATGAAAATAATTGAGTATAAGTACTTGAAATCTTTAGCCTATTTATGTGTTAAATCTGAAAAGTGAGGATTCTCAACATGTTACATTGTTTACAACATGATAGCATTGAAAAAACCCACTAAACTGGAAACGTAGGTACTGTGAATAGGCATGTTTTCCATAGTTGGAAAGGAAACTTATTTTGGGAATTAGTTCAAGGAAAATGGGAGAGTTGAAAAGAATCAAATATATAAAGTAAGGTGAGACATGACTTGAATGTTCATGAAATTGTACTATTAAATATTGATTTTTCTAAAAAAGCCATGTTTCCTTTGCAGTTGGTTCTGCCACTGTGGTGAGTCCCCTGGAGCTGATCAGAACTCAAATGCAGTATCGCAGGTCATCCTACAAGCAGCTGTACCTGCGTGTCAGCTCCAAAGTGGCTGCAGATGGGTGGCTCTCCCTGTGGCAGGGCTGGACTTCTACTATTCTGAGAGATGTACCTTTCTCAGGTAAGGTTTATTTCCCATGTAGGTTTTTGTTTATGTTTTTATATTATTTTTCTGTGGTTTTAGGTAGTTTTAATAGTTGGCTTTAGAAATTTACTTTTTCTCTTTTGAGCGTTTTTATTTACAAATTCTCTGAAGATGTGATTTTTCCCCGCCCCTCAATTTTGTTGTGGATACCAGACAGGATTCGTTGTTACATTCCCTTTCTCTGTACTTAGACTCTTTCTTCTCATCTTCAGCTTACACAATGACTGCTTTTGAAGAGTTTCAGCTGGAAATTTTCTCTGTGATAGAAATAATGGCTATTTTTTGATAAACCTGCTGTATCTAAGTGTTCTGTTACATAATTTTGGAAACGCGTACAGAGAGTGACACAGTAGTGTCTTCAAGATTTTTTTTTTTTTAAATCAAGATTAATTCATTTGTATAACTGCTCCAAAAAACTCTTTAGCAAGACTTGAAAGCTGAAAGCCTAGAATGTACAGCGAGTGACACAGTAGTGTCTTCAAGATTTTATTTCTTTTTAAATCAAGATGAATTCATTTGTATAACTGCTCCAAAAAACTCCTTAGCAAGACTTGAAAGCTGAAAGCCTAGAAGAAGAAAAGTCTGATTCAAAGTATAACTAGTCCTAGGGCTATTCCTTAAGGTAACTGGGACAGATGTTATAGGGGAGACTGCTGAAGCACCAGAAAGCCCCTGTCCCTTTAAGGCCTATTTTTGTCAGAATACTTTTGGATCATCAGACATCAGTTGTCATTGAAGCAGTTTCTGTTATTGGTGTAGTACCAGAAATCTTTAAACCCTTTATGTTGGCCCAGAAAAATTCTTCAAACCTGTTTTTGGAAAGATTCTTATTCAAACCTGGTTTTGGAGTCAGAGAACCCTTGATGTATTTGACCTGCTATCTGTGTTGTCTTACTTCACTCTTAAGGTGATCTCATATCTAATTTAATTTGTGTTTCCAATCAATCTTGTGGGCCAGTCATTGGTTTGGGCTGTTACAGAATATGTGTACCCAGAGTAAATTTTAAATTGGCTGTGAACCAAAGTGAGACATCTGGGGTGTGATGAGGATATTTACTTTAAAATTGCAGTTGGTAGTTAAGTGAGTAAACTGAATGAAGTTATTTCAGCTGTCTTCAGAATTTATAGTGCTCTGTTCTCTTTCAGTTAGCTACTGGAAAGTGTTTGAAAATTGTGACTGGAATATATTTCCCACCTAAAGATCCAGTCCCTTGATGGGACTTATTTTAGCCTTCCCTATTTAGTGATAGGGAAGGCTTCTGAACCTATGAAAACATGGTTTCACTAAGGCTAAAGACAACTGCCAGAATTCATCTGAATTAGGGCTATTCCTTAAGGTAACTGGGACAGATGTTATAGGGGAGACTGCTGAAGCACCAGAAAGCCCCTGTCCCTTTAAGGCCTATTTTTGTCAGAATACTTTTGGATCATCAGACATCAGTTGTCATTGAAGCAGTTTCTGTTATTGGTGTAGTACCAGAAATCTTTAAACCCTTTATGTTGGCCCAGAAAAATTCTTCAAACCTGTTTTTGGAAAGATTCTTATTCAAACCTGGTTTTGGAGTCAGAGAACCCTTGATGTATTTGACCTGCTATCTGTGTTCTCTTACTTCACTCTTAAGATGATCTGATATCTAATTTAATTTGTGTTTCCAATCAATCTTGTGGGCCAGTCATTGGTTTGGGCTGTTACAGAATATGTGTACCCAGGGTAAATTTTAAATTGGCTGTGAACCAAACTGAGACATATCTGGGGTGTGATGAGGATATTTACTTTAAAATTGCAGTTGGTAGTTAAGTGAGTAAACTGAATGAAATTATTTCGGCTGTCTTTTCAGAATTTATAGTGCTCTGTTCTCTTTCACTTAGCTACTGGAAAGTGTTTGAAAATTGTGACTGGAATATATTTCCCACCTAAAGATCCAGTCCCTTGATGGGACTTATTTTAGCCTTCCCTATTTAGTGATAGGGAAGGCTTCTGAACCTATGAAAACATGGTTTCACTAAGGCTAAAGACAACTGCCAGAATTCATCTGAATATTTTGTCTGAGGTGTTTCCTCTTCAATTTTTATTTTGAATTTATTTATTTTTCTTCTTGCCAAATGCAATTTTCTCTTAGGCTGTTCTCCAAGGTTTGTAAGGGAACTCTCAGATTCTTCATCTGATTCCTGCTGTCTGACTTCAAGTAGAAGCTCTTATTCTTACACTGATTTTTGTCAGTACTGCTGTGGCTGGAGCTAGTTAGCTTCCTTCCCCCTGCTGCTTTTAACAGAGTGGGAAGATCAGAGGAGTGCACAAGGAACAGGGCACCAAGGTGATGTGCATTCTTCTCAGCCCTTTTCAGATTCTTGTGTCCACACCTGCTGTTCCTCCACTGCTCCAAGCCAGGCTTGTTGATTTTTAGTCAGTTTCCACACTGCTCTGGCATTCCCTGGACAGCCAGTGGCCACTCACTCATCTGAGCCCAGTTCTTTGTGGGCATGATGGTAGAGGCACAAGTTAACCTATAAGGCAGTAGCTGCATGTTGAGAACTACTCAACCAATAGTGAGCAGGCAAGTAGTTAGAAAGCAGAAAAAGTGCAGTCTAGTTCAGCAGATGGTCACAGAAACAGATGTTATTCCTAAAAGTTGTTTGCTGGATTTTCCTTTGACAGTCTCAAGAGAGGCATTTCCCTATTAGTAATTCCAGGGAACAAAATTAGATTTTTTGGTTCTCTCAGAATTAAATTTTATACTGTGCCTCAAAAAAGTATGAGGCAGTCCTGAGCAACATCTCATTTTGTATGAAATGTGTTTTTATAGAATTACTGAGACCTATGAAATATGCCTGAAAACATAGCAAGTAATTAGATTTTTTGATTTATTTTAAATTGAATGTGAGTTTTATAGTGCTTGGGTTAGATTGTGTCAAGGTAGGGGTTACCTAAGGGAAAGACAAAATGACTAGGCTAATTTGTATCATATGATGAAATTTGGGATATGGAGAACAAGGGAACACAGCAATCTGTCCATGGTTTATCACACAGGACACTTACTATGCTTTCAGCTCATGTTTCTGTTCGCTTCTTTTGCCACAATATTATTTTTACATCTGGACTTGATACAAGAATTTTTGTACTTGATATACAAATTTGTTGTAATGCAAGTTTAATTTTTTGTAATCATAGCAATGTATTGGTATAATTATGAACGTTTCAAGAAGATGATGTGCAAGGAAGTTGGTGCAAATGAACCTACATTTTTTGTTTCTTTTACTTCAGGAGCAGCATCTGGCTCTGTAAGTATATAATTTAATTTCTAGTACTATTCTTTATTATTAGCACTAATAAACAATTTAAAAATGTATGATTTTGGATTATTCTCTCAGAAGTGTTGTATATTTTGGGGTACTTGTATTTTAAACACATGTGGTGTGGCATTCAACCTGACTAAATAAATCTGAATAAACTACAATATTCTGACATACAAGACTTAAAAATATCATGTGCTTAGAATATCAAATCTAGTTTTAAATTGTGTGTGCATTTCAATTAATTTTTTTTTTAAATAGGGTTAAATTTTAATTTTTTGTGCACTAACATTACAGCCTCTTTCCTGATAGATTGCAGCTGTTGTAACTCAGCCATTTGATGTAGTGAAAACACATAGACAGACTCAACTTTGGGAGAATGAGACCTTAAAAAGTAAGTTGCTGGTAAGAATAAAAAAACCCTATAGTGTTTCAAAAAATAAAACCTAGTATTTGGGTATGGTTTGTGGTAGGAATTTTAAATATTTGCCATTTCTAAAGTATATGTAAACATTTTATCACTCAGGAATTTTTTCTTTCCCAAATTGTAGTATATTTTACCTCCTAGGAGATACACATTATCTCCTAGGAGAATACCATATTTCATTAATGGCATGGAAGAGGGAAAAGGTGTGAGTTCAGTGCATTATAGGTTAATAAGATGGTATAGAATTGAAACAAGGGAATCCAAACCTATTACATTTAGGCAGACCAACTGCAAATTTGAGATGTCCCTGCTTCTTGCAGGGGTGTTGGTCTAGATGACCAATAAAGGTTCTTTGGTTCTTTTGAACCCAAACTATTCTATGATTCAAGTAAGTTATATTTCAATAGGCAAAAAAGTAACTTCATAGCAAACATTCAGGTGAACAGTGATCTATTGAAAAAGTCTTCAAAATAACATTCACTACCACTTGCTCCTACCTGGCAATATTCTTGTGATAAGTATTAGACTAGAAAAAGAAAGTATTATGCTCGGGTTGTGTATTTTTTACCTTCTTTTTATGTGATTCCAAAAAAAATATTTTTGAGGGCATATTAATGAATGTCCCAACACCTTTAAAGGATGAAAGAGGAAGTTTCTGTTTTGCTCTTGTCAGTAGAGCACTGCTCTGTTTTATTCAAATGAAGTCATATATAATACCTTTGTTTTCCATTGCTTGGGATGTGGATCAGTGAAGGACTTAGATTAACCTAAATAAATGTTGTATCGTGGCTTTAAGATTACAGACCATTAAAAAGACTGTATCCAAATAGGTTTTGCTTAGAAAATAAGTGCTCACTTTTTGGCATGATGTTTCATTCTCTCAGGTAATTTTTTTTTCCTTAGAGTAATTCTTGAAAAAATTTATTATCATTTGGTTGCAGAACAAGAATTTAAAAAGTTTTAAACATAAATAGTTACTGTTTTTAATCTTTTGCCTGTACTGATGAATGTAAGAATTCCTTCCTAACACCACTTTTTAATATATGTCTGCCATATATTGATTAGGTTAATATTAATAATACTAATTTTTATTTTTAAAATTCCATTATGGTAATCTTTAATTTGTGCCAGTTTAATTCTTTCCAAATCCAGTTACTGTTGGAGTTGGAAACTGACTATGCATCTACATTTTGTCTCTCTGTGATTGCAAAAATATTTTTGGCTTCCAAAGGCTGTGGGACATTCCTGATTAATGTATTCTATGAAACTGCTTTGGCTTTTTTCACCTGTATCGGCAATCAAGTAAAGACTATAGTAGCTGTTCATATATCTTACTCTAGGTTTTACTACAGGTCTTTTCCATTATTTGCTATTTCAACTTGTGTATTTGCATTCTGCATTAATTTAACATACTGTATAAATAAGATGGATAAAATTAACAAAAAAAGGCATTAAACCTAACAATTACATCTTAATTTCTAAAAATATCATTCTGTGGCATTGCATGGATTGCCTAATTCACTGTTGTCTTGTACTGTATTGAGTTCCACAGAGGGACAGTAAATCAACCTGGGCAGTTATGAGGAAAATTGCCGCTAGAAATGGGATTGCTGGATTATTTGCAGGTAAATTTTTTCCTGTCACTAAAAAAAATCAGACTAGAGAATTCTTAATCATAGATGTTAATATGCATAAATTATATATTTCCACTTCTGTGAGCACTGTCAGTTATGCAATAGTTTGCATATATAAAGCAACAAACATGCACACATTGGCCTCTCCTGGGATCTTCTTGGTAGAGTACCGTGGGATTAAGCCCTGGAGGGAAGAGAGGCCCAAGAAAGCTGGTTAATATTCAAGAATCACTTCCTCCAGGCTCAGGAACAATGTATCCCAGCAAAGAGAAAGTCAGGTGAAAACTCCAGGAGGCTTAGAGATGCTCTTGATCAGCCACCACTTCAGTTCAGTTGGCCACACGTAGCTGAGATGACTGGGGTTAGCCTGCCTGGCTCCTTGCTGCTGTTCCAAAGTCACACGAGTTCTCTGTGAGTCGTGTGTCACCTGTGTTGGCTCTCTACAGATGTCTTTGCGTTTCAAGTGGAAGTAGAGGGCTGACTGTGTGTGGACAAGGGGATTGAGCCTTATTTCCCTTTCTCTAAACTGAAGCACTTTCCAACCTCTACTGGCAAGATCACAGTTGACTATAATGGGAGACATTTAACACTTAAATTCCATCATTTATTCCTGTGACCAGGATTCTTCATTTTGGTAGAGCAGAGACACAATGGGTTTGAGGCAGGCAGCCCACACAGGACAGCAGAGGTGAGGGCATAAGGTCATTACACTGGTAATACCTGCAGCCAGTAAATTCAGTATTTTGAGGCATGTGAACAGGTAGAATCCCAGCTCTAAACTGATATACTATGGTATTGATGTACTGTGATCAACACATTGTACTGCAGCACTTGGTTACTGAAAACAAACAATAGTGAATACTTCCCTTTCTCTTTTGGACAGGTATTGCTCCACGGCTGTTTAAAGTTGCTCCTGCTTGTGCCATAATGATCAGCACGTACGAATATGGAAAGGCTTTCTTTTCTCATTTAAATGAAAAAAAGAATCATCCATAGTTGTTCTTCATCTGGTTGTATGAAGGCAAAGTATATGATGGAAGTTGTGCCAAATTTAAATCTGTGAAGATGTTTTTTAGAATTCCCAGTGAATTTCTACCATTACATTTGGTAACTAAATAAAGCTTTATTTTTAACTTTCACAAAGGATTAATTCACTCTTTTTATTAAGAATAAGAAAATGCACATCACCGTGAAATTATCATTGAAGATTTTATGACTTCTCTTGCAGCTGGAGAGAAAAAAAGAAAGGAAGGAAGAACAGAAGAAAAAAGCAAGGAGGAAGAGAAGAAAAATTGAGGCTGGACATAGCAATGAAGAATAATGACTTCCCCTGTGTTAGATTTTCAGTCATGATTAAACATTTTAGTTGGGTTTTAAAATTATGTTTTAAAATGTTTTGGGTTTCTAATTGTAAGATATATTTATTTCTCAGTAAGGAGGTTGAGACAGAGCAAATTCAATAAATACTTATTTATTCTTGCTGCGTGTTATGTGTTTCATTCTGTACATGTTTGTTAGTTGCAGCTCTGTATTTTTGCGTGACTGCATTTTATAAAAGCTTCTCAGGTTTATTTGAAATGAAAAATTCTGTAAAACTGGAAAAATACTTATGTTCATTAGACACAGAGTGTGGTGCACTTGATAGAGTGCTGATGGTGGAGCAGGGGTTTTTGTTTAAGGTAACACTGGAAGAAATTAAAGCACACCTATACAGTGAAGCCAAAGGCCTGTTCAGGTGCTCTGCAGCATGTTCATTAGACACTGAGAGAGTGTGGTGCACACACTGATGGCGGAGCAGGGGTTTTTGTTTAAGGTAACACTGGAAGAAATTAAAGCACACCTATACAGTGAAGCCAAAGACCTGTTCAGGTGCTCTGCAGGAACACTCCTGCACGTGTTCTGGGAGCTGCCCGTTGTCACTGTCACACTGCTCCAAGGCAGGGCTGGGCTGTGCACGCTTTGGGGCCACCTGTCTTGTAAGGCCAAGGTTGCTGGCACAGGGAGAGGTGATTGTGTGCCAGCTTGCCTCAGGCCTGCGCCCCTCTGAAGGCAAGAGGGTGTGCAGGCTGCTGCCACGGGCACAGCCACCCTCTGCCCCCACGTGCTGCACTGCTGGCAGGGACAGCTGCAGCACTGCCCTTGGCTACAGGCACTCCAATCACTAAATCAGAGCTGCCTCTCTATGATTTAAATAATTTTTAACTACCCTCACTACCTCCCTCTTTTCATGCGTTTTCAATGCAGCTCTTGAATTCTATTTTTTGTGTATTTTAATGAGGGGGGTGCTGATACAAAAGTAACTCAGTAGTCAGATCATTAAGACACTGACATTTGGGTGTGCTTTACCCAAGAAATAGAGTTCAGTCCAAGGTGAAAATTCCTCACACACTGGAAAATGTTCTACTTGTAAAGACATTATGGACCACATTAGGCAAGAGGTGCTGCCAGAGCAGATGCTTAACACTGTTCTTCCACTGTGACTTTTGAATGAAAATTTACAAAATAAGGCCTAAGAGAACATAGTAGCAGCTGATATTGGATGACACTGAACAATACAGAGCAAGAAAACCTTGTGCAAGAAAAGCATTTGCTAAAAACTCAGTAATGCTGTAATATACAGAATGGTCTTACTTTATCCCGTGTGATTAAAACAGAGACAACTTGTGACTAGTGATGATACAAAATTTTTAATTTACATGCAACATTTATGGAACGTCAAGGCAACAAAACATACAGTTTTGGCGGTTTAAAAGTCTTTTCAAAAAAATGGTTAATGTTTAGAACTGAGAAAGATGCACATAACTGATTGCCCATGCACAAAATGACACCCGAAACACGTGTCAGACTACATAAAAGACTTCAGCTAAACAACACATTTAGCTCTAAGAAAAGAGCCATCAGTGAACATGACTGAAGATCATGATTACTGCCCCCTCCAAAACACTGATGTGGCATGAAAAGTATTTAACAGCAAACAAGACTGATTAAATCACTGTACATTGATGCAGAATGTTAACTTGTGGAATCTGGATTCCTGCATTTTATTTGTAGTAAAAATGTATCTCTAATTTACAAATTTATATTTAATAATGTTACTCAAGAAACAGGTGCTTAATGTGATCAAAAAAAAGTTCCATGAAGTAATGGACATTCTGAAGGTGTATGAAAGGAGGTAATGGTCAGCATTTATTACAGAGAAATTACCTGTGTGGGTACACAAGGGCTTGAAAGACCTGGTGGTTCTGTTAAACTACTTCAAAATTCTGCATTAAAATAGCATCACTGGTTGTGCACCCGGCCATGGAAGTAGTGTACTCCAGCAGCATGGACTAGAGAGCTGAGGAGATGGATTCTTATCCTCTAGCTAAATCCAGCAGCGCCTTGAGTTCCAGAAATGCATAGCCTCCTACTTCAAAAGACTAAATATTTCAGTTAAAGTAAGAATGAATCTTCTTTCTTTCAAGCCCACCCTATGGTGACCAGTTTAAAGCAGCAGTGCCAAGGTATCATCACAAGAGGCAAATCAACTAAACCTGTACAGAGTGTAGTGACATACTGTAAACACCTAGGAGTAAGCAATAATTAAAAATCTGTCTTGTATTGCAGCTACTCATGTAAACAATTTATGAAACTTCTTTGGCACAAAAAAGCATTTTCCCTAGCACTTATAAATACAACATACTTACATGCATTTCACTTTTGTTTAAAAAGTTACTAATCATACTGATAAGCATTACCTTGATTACCAAAATTCATAGATAAAGGATCCATTGTATCTTAAAAAGAATTAAGAATATAGTTTGCAATTCAAAAATTATTTTGCAAACTTTGAAACTGTAGGGTAATCTGGAAAGTCAGTTACATTTTAAAAAATGTCTCCCATTTTTTTTCGTGTCAGTAATTTAAATCAATGGCAAATAATTTGAGAAAACTGACTTAGAGAATTTCTGCTGTATTACCTAAGCAAGAAAAATGCCTATTGCACTACTATAGGGATGAGAAAAGTCCTTTAACACACAAATACAGCCATTACATTGTTTCCCCTTTTCCACTCTCCTTGGGATCTTGCCAATAAACACAGAATCCTAACTTTGCAAAATGCTTACCCCCATCATCCATAGCCCCCATCTTTTCAGCAAGAAACTTTTTGTATAATGTTAGTTTATCTGTAACCCAGGCCACTTAAAAGCATTTAGTGAGTTTGCTCACCATTCACAAATCTCTATGTATGCTTGATTTATATGATCAAGTTACATTTGTTATTCACATGCAATTTCAAGTGTTTGTATTTCAGTGTGACTGGGGCATCTCCTAAGTGCCATGATATTAACAGGAATGCAAAACCTAACACGGAGTCAACTTGAGAGAAGCTGTTGATAGGTTAAATATGCTATCTGAGGTCCTAAGCAACATACACAGATGAAAAGCTGGATTTTTAGGTATTTATTTGCCTACAAAGACTGGTGTTCAGGATTCCCTGTCTCTTCTGCAGGAGTTGATAAATATTTAAAGCACTGCGGAGTACAGTGGCTAGAGCCGGTCCAGGCTAGTGCAAGGAGAAACAAAGCTGATGGCATTTAAGTATGGGTCTGATTTCTGACTGTTTAATTTTAAAAACCAGTCATAAACATCACATTATACATTCTGTACCTGAACAAGAGATTTAAATAATTCCAGACTAAAATAGAGTATCTGATAAGTCCTCTGGGGGAAAGAAAAAGCAAACAAAAACTGATCCAATTTGTGAATTATAAAGGTATCCATGACAATAAAAAATAAAGCAGCTTATTTTTTAACTCAGAACTAGCAGTCTTCACTGCAAGTCATCTTATGGAACATAAATCAAATGCATACAACATAAAGCTCTTCCTTCTTGAGTGCATCTCAAGATGGTGTTAAGCCTGGACTTGTCATCTCTGTTGTGGGACTTGCAAGGTATTCACTTGATTTCAGACTTGTGAGAGACTTGTAGCTTGCTACTGATGTAAGAGAGCCACAAAGACCAAGCAATGATGGAGTGTCTTCCTTTCCTGTAAAGAAAAATAAGAATTAAGTTAATGATTTTTGCAGCACAAGATTAGTTCACCATAAAAAAAAAAATGAGATAACAGAAAAAGCTGTTTAATCTACACTACTGTGAATTCTATAGTATGCTTCAGCACAGGCATGTTTTATAAATGCTACTGGGAAGACAAGTTACACCACATCTACCCTACCTAGGTGGTACAGAGATCCCTGCCTTACAGGCTGGGCTGAAATCAGTCTTGAATTATATTAGATTTTAACATTGCTTACAATTAAAAAAAAATCCTTGATAGTAAAAAAAAAAAAAAAGTTAGTTTAGCAGTTATGTAACACTAAGGTTTTGTATTGGCAAACTTATTTAAATGTTGATGAGACTGATGAAATACAAAAAGGATTATTTTATAACAATTTATATTCCATACCCAAAATACTACTATTTCACAAGTCCTCCAACATTCTCCTGCTTTTCCAGAATTGCCCACAAGATGGAGCAGCTAAGCTGTGATAAACATCCAGGTTTGAAAGGGGTGTGTGCATATATCACATTTATATTTATATAAACAGTTCATATCATGTTCCACACTCTATTTTAATGGAAACACTGTCAGGCTGCATTTCCAGATAAATGTTAATTGCAAGATGTAAGAATGACAGTGGTAGTTGCAAATCCAGTGCATTTAATACATTCTTTTAAAACCAAAAAAAGGAAACATAAGAAGTTTGTTGTAGCAGAAAGATGTCATCAGATCTTCCTTGTAGTGAAGCTGACTGGTTCTGTAATCAAAAAGGAAGAGACATGCAAGACATTTGAAGCTTAGCTTTAAATGCAGAGGAGTGGCGTGTGTATCTTCATAAATCCAAAATTATTGGAAGCAGAGTTCTTAGGGAAACTGAAACACTTTCCATAACAATGAAAAATATGTTTTTCAATGTGTATTTTCTTCACACTGAAAATTTGTCTCACGGGACAAGTTCAGAGCTGTGAAGAGCAAAATTAAAGGAGGACATTAGACTGGCTCTGTACCTTCATTTCTTATTGGAAGCAGAGTTCTTAGGGAAACGGAAACACTTTGCGTAACAATGAAAATATGTTTTTCAATGTGTATTTTCTTCACACTGAAAATTTGTCTCACAGGACAAGTTCAGAGCTGTGAAGAGCAAAATTAAAGGAGGACATTAGACTGGCTCTGTACCTTCATTTAACAAGTTAATTCCATCTTGCTTCCCATCCTGTGAGTGACCTGGATCCAGAGAGGATTGAGAAAGACTAACTTCTGCTGAAAGCTGGTCCAGACTTTGAAAACTTTTCCTGCAAAGCAAGTAATATTTGATAGCAAAACATTTAAAGATCTAACTAGGTATCTTCAACTCTCCTTAAAATTTTGCTAAAATAACCCTATGCAGTTTAATCTTTCTTCTCTTAAACACTACTCTTATTTATTTCCAAAGCCAGTTCTTTCCTAAAGCTATGATTTATTTTTCTGCCCCTTTTTTAAAAGCTAATCCATAGGAAGAAAAATTTTATGGTAAGCAAGAGAAACTGGTTTTATTTACCAGTGATCTTTGTACATTGTAACAAGTGACTCCAATAGAATATGTTCCAAAGTATGCTGAGAGGAATACATAATTTTCAGTTTCCCTGTTCCTCTAAGGGGGAATCAAAATAAATAAGAAACTTACTCATCCCACTGTTGATTGTGCTTTCTATAGAGTAGAGTGTCCAAGGCAACAGCATTGACATCCAGAGCTCCTGGGGAAGGCCACTGATTGGTGAGGTGAGTAGTTAATTCTTGTCTTGATCTCAAGTCATTATTCTTTAGCACAGTTCTGGGAATATAAAAAAAAAAAGAGTCTATTAAATGCAATTCCTTAAGATAAAGGAAAAACAGGACATAGATGATCATAGAATCATCATGGTTGGAAGAGACCTTCAAGATCATCCAGTCCAACCATCACCCAGCACTGCCACTGTAACTCCTAAACCACATTCAGATGTCTCTAACACCTCCAGGAATGGTGACTTCACCACCTTCCTGAGCAACCTATTTCAGCCTGACCACCTGAACAGCAAAAAAAATTTTCTAATATCTAATCTGAATCTCCCCTCCTAAGTCTCATAAGCCATTCCTTTGGGTCCTGTCACTGCAGCCACTGCAGAAGAGACCAACCCCCACTCACTACAAACTCCTCTCAGGAGCCTGTAGAGAGCAATGAGGTCCCTGCTGAGCTTCCACCAGACTAAACACCCGCAGCTCCCCCAGATGTTCCTCACAGGATTTTGTTTCTAGACCTTTCACGAGCCTTGCCGCTCTTCTCTGGACACACTCCAGCATTTCAACGTCCTTTTTGGAGTGAGAGGCCCAAAACTAAATGCAGTACTTGAGGTGCTGCTTCACCAGTGCCGAGTACAGGGCAATCAACACTATTCTTGATACAGGCCAAGATGCCAATGGCCACCTGGGCACACTGTTGGCTCATGTTTAGCCACCTGCCAACCAGCATCCCCAAGCTCCTTTCTGCCCAACAGCCTCAAGCCCCTCCTTCCCCAGCCTGTAGCACTGCAGGTGGTTGTTGTCACCTCAGGCCAGGACCTGGCACTTCACCTTCTTGAACCTCATGCAGTTCTCTTCAGCCCATTGAGCAAGTCTGTCCATATCTCTCTGCAGAGCCTTCCTACCCTCCAACAGGTCACCACTCCCACCCAACTTAGTGTCATCTGCAAATTTATTGAGGGTGATCCCAATTTCCACATCCAGATCAGCAATAAAGATGTTAAACAGGACTGACCCCAAACCCAAGCCTAGGGAAACATCACTAGTGACCATCCAGATGTTCTATTTCAAGTGACCAACGCAGACTGCAATTTTCACAAAGCATCTTAAACTGTTTGCCTTTCCTAAGGGAATCAACTTAGAAACATACTGAGACATATTTAGCAACCAAAAAAAAAAAAAGTTGGCATTCGAATCGTTCTACAAAACCAATAAAGGCAACTGCATTTAAAAGGTTCTTTCTGCCAGCATAATGGTAATTAACAGGCCAGCTATTTTGCAAGCCACTATGCAAATGTGATGTGCTTCCCTTGACACCAATTTTTTTTTTGCAGTTTGAATACTCTTGCATCCCCCCTTTCAATACTTTTCTGGAATGAACTAAAAACCAGACATGCTAATTCCACTGTATGCTTTCAGGCAAAATATAACACATAGTTTTCTATCACCTTACAATTTCTAGTAACTATGTCTATAACTGATATTAAAAAGTGTAAACTGAACACTTCAAATACTCAAATTAGTTTTGCCTCATATTCCTAATGAAGCAAATCAGTTTTCTAAAATTCTAGAAATGAAGAAGCTAATATGCCAGTATTGGAAATCACCTGCCAGAAGTCACACCAAAATAAGGAAAGTACATAGTTTTTTGGGCTCCAAGACAAGACCAGCCTTTTTCCAATAGCACAAGACAACCTTTGATCTGCCCTTATACTGCTGCAGAATAACCAGAAACAAAAACAAGAGCATTTTGTAATTGGATTTTCTAAGTCCTCCAATCCACAAAATACTAGACAATAGTAAAATGTTGCTCTACAAGGAGTTTGACTATCTCTGGCCTGAAACAAAAAGCTAATTTACCCATCTCCATACCAAACGTACTCAGAAGTTCAAAGCCAAATGCCATGTTGCTATCCAAAATGCCAAACCGCACAGCAAATTAAATAACTATTCATGGCACACATACATTTACTTTAATTTTCCAATAACATTGTCAACAGGTCTATTTTTACAATACAGGTTTTATTCCGATGGTATTTGAACTGTTTAGACAGGAACTTCTGTAAGGGCAAATAATAATGCCCAAAGAGCCAAAATTTCCTACAAAACAAAGGCAGTAGTAAGCTCAGTAAGGAACTTTTAGCAGCTGAGTTTCACAGAGGAGACAGATTCAGAGTTTTACTGTATGAAAAGGGGATGAAGCACGACCGTGATTAAAACTAGTTTCAAGAAACTTCTCTCAAGATGACTAATTCCCTCAGCATTCCTACAAGTAAACAATCAACTTTTCTACCCAGGGATCCACACCGTCACCCTCCTAAGAGGTCTGCAGGAATAACCACTTTGCTAACCCAAAGCTCTCAATGATTTCAAGTATCTTGCAAGGTATTCACTTCCCCATGTAATAACCCTAATTCCCCGTGGAACATCAAGCATTACACAGAGATGTCACAGGTTTGTTGATCTGAGGAAACTGACACATGGAGATAGCAAGTTTTTATGAGGTTTGCCAGGTACATTACATGACGTCTTTATTCAGAAGGACATCTTGAATGTTTTCACAGAAGTTTCAAAATAGGACACAGTTTTATATGAGCAACTATGCCCACAGTGCCTAAATGCAAATTCACACATGTAACATGTACATGCAAATTTCCATTTGGACAACCCCTGTAAACTATCACAGGCACATTATCACAGACACACATCTACAGACAAGCTCCTAATAGTGGAATTTTTGCATTATATATAGGTTTCTATATTGGATAAATCTAATATTCTATATTCCACAAATCTTTACACCCTACTGTGTGAACAAAGAAATTCTGAAGCAAAGACTCACCAAAATTTTCCAGGAATTTTAACATAACATTTAAAGATAGTTTCAGTTAATCACTTCTTAAACCACTCCACCATGCTCAGGAAGAAAACCAGGCATCAAGTAGGATAAACTTGAAGAGAACTAAATATTCTGCTCTTAAATATTTGAGAACTAAATATCGTCCTCTTAAAGCTTTTATTTTGAATGTTTAAAAACATGTAAAAATATAATTGAAATTATAAAATCAGTCCAAGCACAGTATCAAATATATATAAAATAGTAGTAGACAATAAAAGTTAGACAAAATATTCACACCAGATACTATTAGTTACCACCTATTTTATCAGCTTTCTCGATTATTTATCTCTTTTGCAGACATTTTTCAAGTATTGTAAGTTTCCACTGCTGCAGAGAGCCATTATAAAGGCATTGCCTGCAGACAGCAATTCTGTTGATATGCAAAAACTGGCACTCCTTCTGTTTAACCAAACTTATTTGAAGAGTCAAAGTATTAAACTGCACTGAAACATAGAACCATTTAGGTTGGAAAAGACCTTTAAGATCCAACCATAAGCCAACCACTGCCAAGTCCACCACTAAACTGTGTCTCTAAGGGCCATGTCACAGCATATCGAATCCTCACACTCCTAATCACCATGAGGAAAGATGATCCTGCTACAAGTATTCAGAAACAGGAAAAGAGGTGGATACAAAAGCATTTACTAAAGAAAAAGTTAAAAAGGAAGAAAATATTATCAAGTTTTAATGAAAAAAGCAAATACAAGCTTCAAAACTCAATGTAAAAAAAAAGCTGTGCAAGACTATCTAGTGCTGTCCTGCTCTTGTTCAGAAAGAAAAACACTTTTTAGAGATTAAGAGCTCTCCAAGGACAACAACTTATTATATCTAAGGCATATTGAATTTCTGCAGTAGTGCTCTTGTTCCCCAGAATGCAAACACAGGCAGGACTTTTCCTCGCACCAGGACTGCAATGAGTATGCAGTTCTGTTTTTCAATAAAATTCAATAAAATATGGTTCTATTGGTTTTGTGGCTGTGAGGATTTAAGGGTGATGCAAGATAAGGTTTGTAGACAGTATGTTAAGCCATTTAATATAGGGGTAAAAGCAAGGACACTCCAAAATGAAAAGAGGGTGAGTAAGAGAGACAACAGGATTTACTAAAGGAGGAAGTTAAAAAACAAGGAAATACAATTAAACCTGAGTGAAAACAAGCATATACACCAAGCTGTTAACTCCTTTTCTTCAGCCTGGAAAAGAAGATAAAAACAGTGGCTAAAAGCAGTAATCTCAGGAAGGCAGCTGCTACATGGAGAATACAGTGGATCTTAGTAAGAGATTGTATGGCTGTGTTTTGGATGAAAGACAGGCAGTGTGTGAGATAAGGCTGAACAGGGTATCCTGGACCAACACAGTGGGACTGCAGAGAGCAGAGGTTTTGTGCAGTACAGGAGGTATATGTAAGAACTTATTATGAGAGCAGGAGGTTAAACCCATTTATGGTACAGTCTCTAATCTAGGCATGAAAAAAATTCTTGATTGCCTGAGAGCCTGTGAGCTTACCCTCTCTCATCTAACTGGTATCCTCTGTGTCTACAATTATTTTCATCTCTTTATAATCATGTTGGCAAAAAAGTAGCAATAGCTGTTCTATAATCTGCTGAAAGTAAACAGTTGTACCCTTAGCAGCCCTTACCCCAAACAACACTTCTGTTAAGATAACTTCATATAGGGTTTCAAATTCTGCAAACATCATAAAATAAAGAAACAGTAGTAAGAGATAGGCAGAAAAAGAACATTCAACAACAGCCAAAACATCAGTCTATTATCAACATTAATCTCAAACTGAATCAAAATACAGTAGCACTGTATCAGCTACTAGGAAGAAAATTAACTCTATCACAGCTGAAACCAGGGCATTTCTTTTAAAATGACCACATACCCTCTGTACTACTTCACAACACAGGCTTTGCCACAATGCATATATACAAGGGAAGTATAACACACGAAGTCTTGTCATGTTGTCCCAGAATAACATTTAAGCCACTTAAATTGTGGTGGCATTTTTTTTATATCTGAAAAAAACAAATTGAAAATACTACTGCAAGTAATAATTTCCTTGGCAAAACAATCAGCAAAATAGATGAGAACATCTTAGTACTAATGTGCATGATTGAAAACTAACAAATGTTTGCTTTACATTTGTATTTTTTGT